TATATATATATATATTTTAAATCTAAAACTGAGAAAGTAATTCTAGATAAAATCTTTGATTTTAAACTTTATTTTCTAGTCAATTAAGAACTTACATGAAAAGAAGCTATTTGCTCCCGATCTAATGGTTTTGTCACTGATAATTGACCTGAAATGGGATTGATGATAAAGATGCCAGTTGGAGGCTGATCAGCTCCTGGACCAGTAACACTGTATCGCAAGGAAAGGCTTTTATCCCGATCAGATCTGATCTACAAACCAAGAAGATGGTGAGTTGTTAAACATAAAAATATTCAGATCCACTTAAAAAAAAATCAACCAACCAATCAACATGCATATGCATACATACCCCCCAACACACATAGAAATCAGTTACATTTTCTTATCTAACTCATTATTTTCATTGCAAAAACCACTAAGTTATCTTCTTTTTATGTGAACTGCACTGGACTTCTTATTAATACAAAGGGTAGTGGTGGAACATGCAAACTGCAGAATGCCTAATAAATATATACTTATTAAATATTATTGTCAGATGAAGTTCTCATAGTCACATATTGCTTGTTTTGTTATGAAGCATGAAATAGCTGGAAATTGTCCCTCCCTCCCAAAGAGAATAACTTCTAAACAGTTACATCTTGCTGGCAGCAGAAAAAGATACAAGAATTGGAACCTTAATGTCACTATAAATAGGGATTACTACTGGAATTCTTAGTGTTCTTGGAAATCTATTGCAGTTTCTTGCATAGTTGAATGAGAATAGTGTGAAAATTACGTTATTGATTCAAGTCTGTTTTAATTTAAGTAGCATAATAAACCTGTTTCCAAATATAACATTTAGTCCAATACAGTTCCTGCCTCAGTCTTATTTAGGATATCTGTAAACAGATGTTCATTAATAAACTGCACATCTGGGCATTGGACAGGTGGCTGAATTCTACTTCATTCAGCAATCCTCTTAAAGGTGTTGAGTATTACAGATTATTCTGGGGTATCCTGTGTTTGGTGACAAAAGTAATCAAATATATTTCTTTCTGAAAGAGAAATGTTCTAAGCTTTGGGTTTTGTAATTTTGCTGAATCCATACACTGACAAGACCAACAAGGGTCAAGGGAAAGCTATTTTAGTATACAACAGTATCCCCAACATCAAGGATTGCTATGATTTCTTAGGATTCAAGTAAGTCCAAAAATTATTAACATCTTCCCATGTGTAACTATCTAATATAAGATTGTTCCAACTCATATCTAGGTGGTCGTTTGGATAAATGATTAAATTAGTTTCATACTCTAGAAAGACAGAAACATATAGCTTTCTTATTTCCACAATTTAAAAAAGAGCATTTGAAACTGAAAATGCCTGCAATATTTCTGACTAGGATAGACTGTGCTACAATTAAAATAGTATCTTTATCTCTAATGCAATTTATGTATTATCCAGTGTGTCATTTAATCCATGGTAGGTGGTAACAGAGGAGTTGTTAAGAATGCTGAGTTTTGGGAAATATTAAGGCGAGGATTTTAGAGTGATAATTCTTGAAATAAGTTTTGATTTCAAGAATGCAGATTCTCCTATTGGCTTCTGAGATCAATAAGTAATACTATACAATGAAAGCCCACAAAAAATAAACTTTTTTTCCACATATTTAGACATGAAGTAGCATAGAATTAATTACTGCAGCGTACAAACCAAAAACAGATAAAAGAAGTATATTTCTCTTCCCTGCATATTAATTTACAATAAGGAACTTCCATAATTCCACAATTTTCTCTGTTTCACAAGCAAGTCTTATACCAGAAGATGATGATAACATTAAAGCATGGGGATTAGTTGATGAACAAGGTAGTAGTGTAGGGATTCTAAGGGTGTTTCTTTCTCTCTGGTATGTTCGGGGCCATCTTTAAGACTGTAGAGAGAAAAGACTTAATGATAGTCTACTCTGATTCACTGAACGATAATTTTCCTTCCAAATGAAAACCTTATTACATAATTGTCTGTCTATAAGAAATGTATTAGAAGCCTAAACCTCTAACTTCCCAGAGTTGCTGGGAGTCGGGCACCATATACATTTAAATCATCATCATCACCATCATCATCACCACCATCATCTCAATTTTGTTTATTCCTCAACAAAACCAATGGCACATCAATTGGCCACTTTGTACTCCTGCTTCAGGTCATAAGGATTGTAAGGTTATTTTGCCCAACCACAGCTTGCATAGGTTTTAGGCTCTTAGGCTAACTCTTTCTAACCTTTTAAGACAGCTAGAAATGAAATGTGCCAACAGCTATTTGATATAAAATATAGTTACAATGTAAAAAATGTGCAGTATACCCTGAGTTTAAAGCCCATTTGAGGCGAGAACTCCACTGAATCTGAGTGCCTGTTGAATCTGTAAATGACATCATTTTACAAATGATGTAAAATATGCAGATGATGTAAATTTACAGAAATATCATTTTTCAAATGACATAAATTTAGGCAAATGACTAAATTTTGACTACTTTGGAGTAATATTTGGAAGAAAATGTTGGTTGTATGTAAAGTCCACCAAACTGATGTTGTTAATCCAAGGGTTTACTATATACTGTAGAGCAGTATGTCTTTTACATTCTATCACAATTCAGTATCCTTTTGATTTTTTAAAATCTGGGCAATCTGGTAATTATCATATTAATATGGCATTAATTGTATACTTGGACAAACGAAAACAGCTTTATCTTATTCTTTCATATTTCTTCTCTTCTTCTGCTGACGGTACATATAATACTGAGATTTTAATGGGACTATCTTATTAGGGTTTCAACAGAATTGTCCAGGAATACAGCAACAAAAATTGTCATGTTTTGCTGAATTTTTTTCCTTTGCATGTAAATAACTTGGTTCCATTTCATCTGGTAAGATACATGGAATATTTTTTTCATCTCAACTCTTTGGTAAAGAAAACCATTACCAAATTCCTTCAACAACACCCTTCTGTTCTCTGCCTTACCCTAACTAATTCCTGTGGAAATGGCCCTCTGGAGTTTTCTGGCAAGTTGATTGGAGGGATGACCCAATCTCTCTTCTGTCTTTGCAGATGGCCACTGTGCTTACTTTGTTGTCTAGGAAATACAATGTCTTCCATTTTCTTTTGCTCCTTGCAATTATAAATAAGGAAAATTAGGATTAAAGCATTGAGATTTTTCAAATAGAAAACAGAATACACATTTTAAAATATATTTACATAATAAAAAAAGGATTCCAAAAACAATGCATAACCCCCAAACTCAGAAAATGACATGACATGAAATAAGAAAAAAAATCTATTTACCTATTTACCAGGTTATTTACCTACTTTGTTTTCTATCAGAAGTCTGTAGAAATAAAGTGGAGTTTTAAGCAATTTATTATAACTTCGCACTATACCTTATGCTTTTTATATTTCAACTACAGCCTAGTTAATACAGTTCAGAATTTAACAGTATACCTCTAGATATTTCTCATTAGTTGGAGCTACAGTTCAGGTAATATGCTACTGAACATTAAATTTAGATCTAGGTGTGCTAAAATATAATTTGAGTTCCTAAGGAAGTTTAATACGTAGTAGTAAGGACTGTCTCAAATATTTATGACCCTATTAAATCCCATAGAATTAATGTTGTAATTATTTTAAACCTATGTCAGCCATGATGGATGCTATAGATGGCCCACTTTACACAGTGGGTATTAATCTCTGCAGGGTGTCAACAATTCTTCTGCATCTGTAAGCATTCTGGCTTTTGCTTCTTGATGCTTGCACATTGCTAGCTTGCTTATGCATATGGTGAAAACAAAGAAAACCATACTTCCTTCAATCCTTTAGAAACAATACTGTATTCAATTAAATGTAGAATAGAGAAAATGTTGTTGTTGTGTGTTTTTTTTACTTTATGGAAGCCAGATGTTTTCAACTATTATACATAAGTTATCCTGACTACCTTACATAAGATAATCTAATAGGGTTAGATAATGGGGAAGTTGCAGCATTAATGTCATTTATTGGTAAACAAGTACAAATCTATTTTAATTATCTGAAATATTGATATGTTGTCCTTTAGTGAGCAAAGCTTTAGTGAGCATGCTCAGGACCAGGCTGTGAATTAAGAGTCCTAGAAAAAGTACCATGGCATCCATATACATATGCAAACCCAGCTATAGCTGGTGATTCTTCTGGTGGGTTAGAAATGCAGAATAACAAATTAAGGTTAAGCTGACACACCAAACCAAACACATTCCATTAAGTACTGTGACCTGTCAAGAATTTTAAAGCATCTCTCCCCCAGTTTATACAGTCCTCAAAAGGAAGCAATAGCAGACAACTTACTATGTCCAGTGAGTATATACAAATAGGAGTATTTGAGACCTTGTCTGAAAGGCTGGATACATATGTTTTGGCCATACATTTAAGACACGCTGGAAAAAATACGATATCCTAACTGAACAGCAGGCTCTGTGACTGTGTAAATGACTGCATGTTTGGAGGAGTAACAGTCCAGCAAACACCAACGCAAATGCCAACTTCCCAATCTGATTCACTTGTTCTTTGGTTTCTACTGTCATTCTTGCCTGAAAAAAGCAAGACTACTAGCATGAAAGTTTTCATTATCAGCCTCTGCCCAGTCTCAGGAGCCGTCTGTTGATTATTTAAATATAAAATCATTCACTGTTTCATGATGGCATATCAGTATAAATCAATTCCATGAATGAATCAGATGCATGTTTTTTTAGATGTTTTCAATCTTATGGCTATAATTGTTAATTTTATTGTGTTCATATCCATCAACATAAACTATCTGGAACAGTTTTTAGAAGAACAAGTAGCAGAATACCATACGGTGTGCATATTAAATGCTTATTGGCAGCAAGGCTGAGAAAGATCTCTTTCCAGCTTGGCTAAGAGCACTTTACACAAGAGGGAGGCTCCCTTCCCTGAAGTGGCAGTGGAGTCATGAATAATTTACACCCCCCCCCCATAACATTTGATTACTGAGGGCCAAAGCAAAGCCAATAATTTCTGCCAGATTTGCTTCCCTGCTTCAATAGTAAATCTGCAGTTCCTATGTTATAAATTTGATTGATGGGTCTGAAAAACAAATTGTTTATTTATTGGTTATATTTAACTGCCTGAATAAATACTGCAATGCTTTCTAGGGATTTAAAAAAAAAGAATGACAAAGATACAATTTAAATTTGTATCTTCTTTTAAAAAAATACTCCTCTACAAATGCAAATTTTAAATGTAAATAACTTTATTCTTAACAGACTATGGTTTCCATACTTTCAGTGGAATGGGGTGATGGAAGAAAAAGTAATTATAGTTTGAAAATTAACAATGCTTAAAACATAAAATTAAGCAGAAACTATAAAGGTGGATAAATTATAAAACCTTTTCTCCTATATAACTTCTAAAGTATATTAAGACGTTTTACCTTTACTGAATCCTTTGAGTCAAGACCTAATTTTATGATCACTTGCCACTGTTCTTTTGTTTCTTTGTCACTGGCATACAGGAGAAATTCAGTGGGTTCCGGAGAGAGCTGAAAGCTTCTAGCTGCATATACCACACCATCATCACCAACTCTGAAATCTGTTGGCGCGCTGCTTTCAAAATGGATTTTTCTGCTTGCTTCACAGTTTCTAAATCTTACTGCAAATAGACAAAACACAACAGCAATAATCAAAATGGAGATTTTTTTTTAAAAAAACCCTGACATGGATTTCTGGATTATTTGTTGTAGGTAAGTCATCTCTAATATTTGTTAATTTTAAAAGGCTGTTTGCAAGAACAAAACAAAAGAAATATGTTGATGAATAAATAGGTAACTGAAAACTAAGCACTGTTTTTTAATTAAGACCATCCATTGATTTTTTATGCAAGTCCTGGTACATTAAGGCTAGTTTTTAGGAGTCCAACATTATTTAGTTATTTGATAACCAAACAAAGCATTACATAATAATTATTTTATCACTACTTTCCCAATTTTCCCCAAGTCTTTCTGAAACGACTGCCTTCTACCTTTTCTGTCTAGAATATGAAAGATTAAAGTTTGGTCCCTTTTGGACCACTAACCTGCAAATCCCAGATTACAACAGAGACAAAGATGAAATACAGGAAAAAATACTTGTAAATATGTACGAATCAAATCTTTTGGGGTACTACTACACAGATTAAAAAAAAAGTACCCTGAATTTTAAAATCTGATACCGTGAAATCTCATTATGGAGAACATAAAAAAAGTAAATTTTATGCACACTTTATATAATTACTTATAATTAATTCTATTACTGATCACATGAGTTAGAAGATGGCTTATAGAAAGTATGGAACGATATTTTATATAACTCAGTCCATATAGGCTACTTTTGCTAAGTTTGAGTACTAGCTGTGCAGTTCTTGACTTGGGATTTCCCTGAGTTGCCCTTTAGACTAGGTCAAGACATGCATACATCTGTGTAATCTCTACCCATGTAAATCTCAAACTTTCTGTAATTGTGGACCACTAAATAAACATTTGGAAAATGAGGGGACTGTCCAATTAAACCAACCTTTCCCAACCTATATCTGCATCTTTAAGTTGAGAGATCCAATTTTTCAGGTATAAGATAATGATTATGGCTGTCTTTCTGTATGCCTTCCCATCCCTGTTTGCAAAAGTCTTTTAAAATTACGTTTTGGGAATCTATCCATCCCCAAAATTAATTATCACTTGAATTATTATATGTATCTCCATCCTATAATAACAACTTTTAATAGAAACCTGATGATCGATGCCTATGTATTAAGAAATAATGGAACAAAGAGATGAATACTAAAGAGCTAAGGGAAAGTGGGTCTCTGGCTAATAAAACCCATTTGTAAATATTCACTGGATTTCATATTTGCACTTTTCTTTTTTGGGTTTCCTTTGGGTTGTGTGGGATTGTAGTTCTTCTTAGCAGATATTTGCTCACAGCTGGCAAAAGTGCTTGAGAGCTGTTTGTTATTGCCATTTTTTTCAAATGTTGCTACTCCCATTATATCTAGCGCAATTCAATGGATCCGTTTTTTGTCTCGGGTCCTTTCTTGTCAATCATCTTTTAGAAATCATGACTTGGGGAGCAAATGGACTCTTGCTACCTGATTGTTGGCATATTAAGGGGTATGGGGTTGAGATGAAGAGCAGGCTGTGGTCCATGAATATGGGGAGATTGTGGCAGATCACTTAGTGGATGACCAATGATTTCCAGACCATATTCTAAGAAATGCTGCTCTAAACTTAATCAATTTTGGATTTTCCACAGTTCATCTTAGTTGGGAATGATATTCCTGTATTTTAAACGTTCATGTGATTTGGTTCTCAGTTTGGAGAACTATTCTTCCTCAACAAGCATTATGTCTTAATAAAAAATCTTGAAAATTCAGCTTAACATTATTTGATATATTCCGGGAAAAGCAGACCCACAGCTACAGTACCTTCCATGATTTCTTATGAACAGCTACCTGTACAACATAGCGATCTAAACAACAACAACCTTATAAATGAATAGGAACTACCAAGAGGTGTAAAAAACCAAGTATAGAACCTATAAATTACATAGCATAACATTAGATAACATCCTTCTTTCTTTCTTCCTTCCCTTTAAACTGTGAAATAAATAGGTTCCTTCTTACAGACCTGAAGGGATCTCGTAAGAATATGGTATCATTTGGACAATCACTAATTGGATTCCAGAATTCTCTCTCAGAACACATAAGAAATGGATTTTATCTCAACATGTCTTTCTGTATTTCAGTATGCTTAAATATCTAATGGGGAACTGTACCTTCCTCATTGATATTCTTCCTTGAGGCAACTGGATGCTATGAAATTCAACGGGAATTGCTCTCTTTTGACAGCATCTTGCTGGAAATTTATAAAATTGTCAGTGTCCTGGCAGAATCTCTGCAAATAGTACATACTAACAAATTTCTCTGTGTGTATGTGTGTGCATGCATGGATGGATGGATGGATGCATAAGACACTGTGCTTTAGGTAGTTTTTAGTCCACTGCTTGGCAATTAGGTTTGTAAAGATAATCTTAATCAGTTAGGAAACTATGTTTCTGCTTTCAACAGAAAAAAAACCTCCTGTAAATTATTATTATTGGGCAGATTTTGTAAAAAAAAAAAAAAAAAAAAAAAATCCCCTTGTAGAAACAGTCATTATTAATGCCATTATTTTCCTAAACCAACTGAAAGGGATGTCACATTATTCATAGTATTGTAACATTTGTCTTTAGCTATACTGCAATTTAAATGCATTGCTCAGAAATGTGAAAAACAATGGAAAGCAACTTTTCACAGCAAAAAATAAAATAAAAATCACCACCCTTTTAAACAATATCCAAATAAATTATCAAACATAAGCCAATAAAAAAATATAATTTAAACTTTTTTGATAATATTTTTTTAAAAACGTGCCTGTTATATTTCTTTTATGTCTATGTTGAACACCTGGTAACATCTCCATCTGACATTTAGCACTTCAATGCACTGTTCTTCATTCCAGATCTAAGGCTTCAGTATAACAATATTAATCACAGTAACAGAACATACATAGCACAGTGCAAGTGTTACCCATGTTGTATCAGAAGTAACAGTAATAATTAAAACAGCCCCAGAAAGCAGTTAATTATTAGATATGGAACTTGGGATAGGATGTCAGGAGATGAAAAACTTTTGGAGGGAGAAGTCGCAATCAGTGCCCCATCTCTATTAGGCTTTTAAGCATGGATTTCAGGATTTAAGAATCATTAGGTATTATAAAACTATGTTTAATAAAAAATAAAACCATGTTATTATCTAAGATTAGACCACTGTAAATAGGGACCATTAAAAAAATGCCTAACAAGATTTTTCTTATCCATCATTGCTTCTAGCTCATAGAGGATATTTTTCATTTGCAAGCCCACATTCCTTTATAGAGCTAGATTAAATGGTAGACATACCCTTGAATCTTATTGACCACAGAGACACAACCAAGCAGTTTTCTTGGCAATAGTACTGAAGTGGCTTGCTACTACCAATTTCTGGGATGTTTTTGTTAACTTTTCAACCTAGACTACAGCCATGGGATTCTCATCCAAATATTAACCAGACTTGCCCCTGCTTAGCTTCTGATCTGGACAAGGTTAGCCAGATGTTACTATCTGTTGAAACATGGCTGTAAATGCTCCAAAATTATTTTGGCAACGCCTGCTTCCCAAACTACAAAGCACTCAGGGAAAAATGATGTTGCTATTGGGACAAAAAAAAAGCAGCAACTGCAACCAAAAGTTCCAGCACAGTCTCTCTCCAAAGAGAAGCACTGCTTTTCAGGTTGAAGCACAATGGAGTGAAACAGCATACTCTCTTGCTCCCTCCATTTTTTTTAGCAGCCTTACAATTTCCTGGTAATTGAAGATGCTCTTTTCTCATTGTTGGTGTTTTATTTGTTTGCTTATTTCAAAGGAAGGGAATGCCCATTCAGAGCTAGAAAGATAAACAGAAGGTCTTAGCTGACTAATGACAGGGAGTGAAAGATCAAGCTAGATGAAATATTTTAGGCAGAGAGTTCTACCCAATCAGCTGTGTAAAGAAGAATTCAATATGTACCTGGAATGCATATAAACAAGTGATTCAATTAGGTTAAATAATGGCATGCTGAATCATGTTTTGATAGGGTATTAATTCAAATATTTCTCCATGGACATATGTGAATGTAGCTATCAGATCAAAAATGGCTCTATTACCTACATAAAGACTCTTTCTTGCATCTCAAAAACAAGCAATATACATCGAGTTGTGATTATTTGTTCTTAACTTGCAAGAACCTAATTCTGTGGGTTATACCGATCCATATCCCTCATATGAAAACCGTAATAAAAGAAAGTTAACTAATAATGGAGAAAAATGTTTATTCAGTTACACTAAATGTTCCTATTTCCTTGGGGTATTATACAAGGTTATTTTATTAATTCTGATGTGCAACAAATGAAACCATATGTACTGAAATGCCAAAACCAAAGTATGAAGTATGCAATCTCATTTACACCATACTGAAGAAATAAACCATGTACAATCATTTCTAATGATATAAATAATTCATAATAGTTCTAAGTTTGTAATCTCATGTATTTCACCAATAATCTTCAATTAAACAGCTTCATTTATCAGGCAATTACAGTTATCACTGTAACACTTAACTGTGTTACCATCTCAAACTCAAACATCACTGCTTATTAATTTATTTCATATAAATTTATCTTTTTCTTTTAATCAAAAGTCCCAAAGTCTACACTAAGCAATCTTGACATAAAGATTCTTTTCTCAGGAAAGAGAAAGAGCCTTCACATATATTTTTCTATATAATAACAAGAGATCATTGAACATAGACATTTACATCTAGCAATACATATGATTGCTACATACGTATGAGTTTGTATTACTTCACTGAAAGTATTAGTGTAGCAAGACCCCAAATAAAACTTCTAAAAATATATTATGGAGTATGGAATTAGATGGAGAAGATTGGGAATGTAATGGACATAGAAATGGGAATAAAGTCTATACTAAAAGTGTATGTCACCAGAGAAACAGCCCATCTAACCTACTAAATATTTAGTAATACTATTTTAAAATGAGATTACAGATAATCCTTGGTTAAGGACATTAATTGGGATGGAAATTTCCATTGCTAAGCAATGCAGTCGTAAAGCATGATGTCATGTGACTGTATCCCTTAGCAATGGCAATCCTGGCAGTCCCCATTGCTATTGTTAACTGAATCTCACCTGGTCATTAGGTGAGGACCATCCCAATCCAAGCCATTCCTGACTTGGTTCTTCCCAGCTGAGTCTCGGTAAGATTACCTACTTTTGAACTCCCCCCACCTGCCTATCTCTCCTGCCCCATCTCTGCCTGTTTGGCTGCCCTACACAGCAGCACTCCTCGGTGGCAGTGGTAGTGCCTGCAGCACTGGGGATGAAGTAGAGGCACAGAGCCTTCAGCAATCTCAGTCGGCTGATGGCACCCCCTGGGCATCTACTTCAACCCCAATGGTGACACCACCGAGTGCCACCTTAAGTGCCGCACCACAACCAGCTGTCCCAGTGCAAATTCCCAACTGCCCTGTACCCCCGCCACCCTGTGCTCCACCAGCCCTGCCACCCCAGCTGACCTTTGCCATCTACTTCCTCCAACTGCTGAGGTGCCTGGCCTGGCCCTTTATGAGGCAGCTGCTGGCCATGCGAGGCTTTCTTCCTGAGGCTGCATGAGGCCTTCTTGCAAGGCTTCAGAAGTCTTCTGAGGCCTTCAGAAGCCTTGCGAGAAGGCGAGGCTTTCAAAGGCATGCCTCATCAGCAGCGGGAGGAACAAAACGGTGAAGGTCAGCTGCGGGCAGTATAGGGCTGCCAAAAGGGCAGAGTTGGGGGGGAGATAGGTGGGTGGGGGGAGTTTAAGCACCCCTGCGGGTGTAGGCACCTGAATTTTGATCACATGACCAGGGGTGCAGCAACGGCTGTAACTTCAGGGACCCAATGTAAGTACCATTTGTTCATCACCTCTGTAACTTCTAACAGTCGCTGAATGAATGGTTACCTACCAAGGACCACCTGTATTCTGCAGGCTAGATCTGTCCTTCCAAAATGTACAAGAAGCTGATGGAGCATAACAGGAGAAAGCATAATTGATATCATGAGCCATTTGGTTTCATGTGCCATTTATACTTGTGATACCAGACAGATTAGATATGAATAGTGTGAACAAAGAGAAACATAAATATGAAGAACACACACTCTGAACTAAAAAAGGAACTTTAACTCTTTGCTCCTACACTACAATTCTGAACAAAATGCCTCCTCTCCCACACCAAGCTATTACTGGCAAACTCCAGTGTCACGTAGAAATTTTGTGTCCATGTGTGCATGTATCTATGTATTCTATCTATCTGTGAAAAGTTTGTTAAGACTATCTTTTTAAAAGATACACTTAACGTTACATGTTCTATGTTGTATGTAGTTTGTCTTTCAGGTCAGTGATGATTCTGCCATTACTGAACCTGGAAAAGAGAGATAGTAACATTGGCAGTGACAGAAGGAGAAACTATGAATATACATGGACATTTTAAAAAAGCTTATTCAATCAGAAACACCAGATTGCAGAGAATATGAAATATCATGGTTGGAAAAAGCAATCTGTCAATGTTTAGCATAAAAATTTGGAACTGAAACCAGAAATCTACATAACAGTCGACAGTGAAAAGGGAACCTAAAATGTTGTATGAGCATACAAAAAGAGAAAGAAGAGTGTTCAACATTATATAGAATGACTCGTTATTTTAATGTATCAGAATCATACTGAATTACAGTGGGGCAAAAAAGTATTTAGTCAGCCACCAATTGTGCAAGTCCTCCCACTT